ACTCTCTGACTTCTTCCCTTCAACCAATTCGTGACCCACCCCACAGAAATGGGGGTCTGTGTCTCCTTCACCTTATGGTTGGTTGTTTAGTTCTTGGACAATGGTGTGGTGCAGAAATCATAGACATGTCCTTCAGGGCAGTGGGGAGCTCTAGCTGGAAATCATGCAGAATAAACTCCAATTGTTAGAAACACAGGTCTCAAAATTATATGCATAATTTCTGAGCAGAAAGAGTGATATCCGAATGCTAAAGTGGCTTTCAGCTGCCATCAAAGAGGGTTCTAAAGACTCTACTTTGCTTGCTTACTATGTCTGTCCATCAGCATGAAGCAGCAGATTAAATAGCTGCACAGATCTAGCACAAAAATCTCAAATAATACTTACGAAAAATGGAGTATAAACTGGTGCTCCAGTGCTCACCAATGACCCAAAAATACATGTTGTTTCCCTGGTGATGAGGGTTTTCTGGCAAAGAGTAACATCTGATAATTTGCTGATCAAGTCCAATGCAACTAAAATATATGATCTGAGGACTTTTTTAGTCAGAGTTATTTTGTCCTTTTACTAGGACAGCCAGCTGTTAAAAATTGAGTCCTGGGTAGTGCTGAAATTCACAGATATATTTGGACCCACCTGTCTCATGATAACTATTTTGTCTCTCTCATGTTAATGTCTTTTACGGAGATTAGTTCTCCAAGAAATTATAATGTATTCTGATCAAACTCAAAGCACCCAAGAGGTCAGTGATTGCTGCATAATTAAAAGCTGCTGAAGTTTGGAACCAAAATCTGATTTAGCATCCTCTGTAGATGTTGTCGACACAATGTCAGAACTCAGTTGAGACATCAGACAACCAAAAGATACTGTACTCTGGAGATGGTGACAAAGAGCGCAAAATGCTTTCTTTCATTCTTTGTATTTCCCAAGGCGCATTGGGTTACAAGCTTATGGGAAGGAGTTGAAAACTTTCCAAAAGAACAGTTCTGTGAATGTTTTTGCTGTACACATCCTTTTCAGTTACTTCTTGAGCAGTCATAGCAGTTGTTCGTTAGTTTTATTGTAACCTCATATAGGGGACATTAATCACTAACAGCTTACAGGGGTCTTGGACCACTCCAGTGGGAGACTCCAGTGAGAGACTTTGACGTGTATGACCTCAGTTGATCTCATACCCACAGAGTTCTTCAAGGCTGTTGAGTCTTCTACTGACTGCACAGGACTCTCAGCTGCAACTCTCCATGAGAAGAGCAGATTGTGTTTTCTGCTTCTCTGAGGGGGCAGATTTGGGTAGCAGGAGGTAGCTGTTGGCTGCTGTAGCAGGAGGTAGCTACTATGGAATATTTCCAATGTTTTCTGGACCCTGACCGCTACGCAGACTCACAAAATACCATGTACCCTCTACGCCAATGGGCTGCACTGCGATCTAGGAAGCTCTGGGCTGAACACGACCATCTAGCCATGAATTAATAGCAAGATCAGAGAAAAGTACAAGGAGAGGGAGTTGCAGATGTTATTTTATGACAAGTGCTGGAACAGACAGAAAAATAAAGAGTCAGAGGACTCCCACCCTAAACAGCTCTGCTTAAGCAGACATCTCAGTGTTTCTAATTAGCTCTACAGCACTACAGCATCCCTTGTTGCTCAATGGCCAGCATGGATACTTCACTGGAAGCCACAGCTGCAATGATTTAGACCCACCCCAGTTGACTGTCCTTTGATTATTGTGAAAAAAATAATTTTAGCAATAAACAAAGTATGTATAGAGATCACTAAATCTTCTCTGCATGGCAAATTTGTATATCCTACAAAATTTTATATCCTATTCAAAATTTATTTCCTATTCAAAATTTAAAGACTCCCCAAAAGCTTGAATCTGTAAATATAAACTCTCAGGGGGCAATTTTAATTGATAAGAGTTTGAAACTTCAATCAACTCAGAAAATTAAAGCTTTGATCAAACATCATGTGATAAAAATTTTGGCTAGACATACTTCAGCTGGCAGACTATACTCCTTTAAGGGTAGAACAGCATGTACCTGTAACAAGGGTGTCCCATTACTTTTGTTTTCACACACCATGGTTGCTATTTTTAGCTGAGGTTGAAGTTTCATAGAGAAGATCTACTCTCTTTGGTCAGGGCCATCTATGTGGCATGGAAAACACAGAGTGCCAACGGGAACACTGTCTTCTCTCCTCACACCAGGTGGGTCCCAGAGTCTGCCCGGTGGCTCATAGCCAACGGCAGGGTGAAGGAAGCCCACAGGCATCTGCTTAGATGTGCAAGAATGAACGGAAGGAAAGACTTCACTGTCTCACCAGAGGTGAGAAACTGGAGATCTAGACACGTGTTCTTCCTCTCCCATTTTCTCTCTCTCCATTCTACTTCTGTTTGATAGCCGAAGCAACGTTCAGCCTGCAGTGTGATCTGCGGGATCACAGGGTGCCATGTTCCATTTTACTTTAGAAAGCAGCTACACCCACTCCCAGAGACCAAGAGGCAGCTCAGCTCCCATAAGGCCAGAAACCTTTGTTAAGGGGAGCATCTCTCCATTTGTTATTGCCATGACAAGAAGCCTCAATTTACAGGACACTGGGCTAAATACGCAATGAGAGAGAAGCCCAATCTGAAAAAATAAGGCAGAGGCATCACTCCCATAAGAAAGAGGAGAGTGTGCAGGTGCAGGAGCAATTTGTGCAGCTCAGTGTTTGCCTTCTTGATTGTCAGAGTGTTTGCCAAGTGCTGGTACAGTGCTAGCAGAAATCAGACACAGACTCATAGCACATAGTCAGCATATTTTCTTTCTTGAGATACTGCATGTAGTGCCACCCAAAACCACAAAGGCTAGTCCACCTCAGGCCATACATGTGAAACCAAGATATTGTCAGCCACAGCAACCCAGTGGTGAATGTGGCTGTAAAGAACACTCAGCATAATAAACTTTTCCCCCTGGCTAAAGCTCTGCTTTCAAGTCAGTCATGGCTCTGCCAGCAGTTTTAAAAGGAATGTGGCGAGGGTGAGGCATTGGGCAAGGTAAGCATGCACCCACCGGTTTCAGTGCATTTTTCTTGACCCCAGGGTTATTAAGGGATGGAGCTGAGATGCTCACCTAGATGACTGAACAAATGAAGGGGAAGGAGAACCCTAAAAAACAGCCACCTATCCTCAACTCCAAAGCTCAGCGTATGAGGCTGATATGGAGATCCTCATCTTGTGCTGAGTTCTATCTTAAAAATGTATTTTTGCAGTCAGACTCTGATGTTGAGACCTTAGTCCATGATGTTCTTTTTAAGGACACCCTCTTGGCTCCAGGGGATGGTGATAAGCTCAGATGATGACCGAGCTCTAGGCAGGAATCAGGGGCCAGGCAGAAGCTGTTCTCTCTCTTTGGAGAAACAGTAGAGCAGTGTCCACAACCACCCTTCACTGCCAAGCTTGGATGGCTGCGTATCGGTCACCTCTGACTAATTTGGTCCACATGATTTATGTTGACTTTCTCAAGAGCAACAAAGGTCACCTATGAAATCCAGTGAGTACAGCAGTTTGTGGCTCATTAAACACTGATCTCTTCTTTAGTGCCCATTGGTTTTTCTCTTACCAAAAGAGGAAGACAGGAAACCCTTGGCACCAGCACACGAGCCTTATGCTTTGCTGTCACAGTCCATTTGCATCTTCACGTGCACCCACTGCTCCTGCATCTACACCCTTTCTCATCCTGTCCAGCATGCTGGTTTTTAAAAGCAGTTTCTTAACATCTGTTGAAGAAGTAATTAGCCTTTTTGACTTATGACATAAAAGTAGTGTTTTATCATGCACAGAATTATGAGTTTATAGGTCGTGGCAGAGAAGAGTGGAGTGTGATTCTTCCTCGTCTTTAATCAAGACGGTAGTTCAGATGAATTATGTAAAAATAACAAGTTACAGCCTCTTTCATTCAACTTGGGCTGATGACATTCTCTCAGTGTTTCAATAGGAACAGCATGGGCCTGCACCCTCAGACCATTCTTACGGTTAGCAAATGTAGCGAGGGTTTCCCCTCTGTCACAGCCTTACGCCATGTCACACCGTACGGTGACCACTGGACCACAATCAAGAAAGGTTTGCAGTCATGACACCTTGCTGGATTCGTGAGGTTTATAGGGACATACTTGTTTTCTTCCTGTCCATATGCAAACATGGAGGCAACAGAGAACCACATGATTCTTGTTTGCTTAATTGATCTGACCATGCGTCAGTGTGCTCTGATGGTTTATTAAGGCAACAACTGCTTTTCTTTAGTTCTGAAGACTAAACTTTGAAAGCTGTATCATCTCCAAATAACTGCACAGCACGTTTCTTATGTACTCTTAGGTTTCATAACATTGTCTTATAGAACTGATGAAGGAATTTCCCAGCGTGAAATTCGTTTTTCAGTATGAAAAGCTTTGTCACTCACTCAAAAACTGCGAAGAATAGTATGCAATTAGAAATAAAATTTTAGCTCTTCCCTAGTGAAACATGATATAGCTACCCTCTTCCATTTCCTAACTCTTTCTTTCATTTTGTACAATTCTTTTAACCAGAGAGTTTTTGGGCTGGGATTTCTCTTTTATTAGCTATTTCCACAAGTCCCTAGCACACAGAACTGTAGAGCACCATCTTACTTGTAGGCGATTCTGTAGACCTGCAGAATCCCTTACTCTCCTCCCTCCCCAGCCATCACTAAATTATGTGAATTTTATGTTTCTTGGGGCTCTTGCTGTTCTGGCTCTTCCAGTTGTCCTTCCACATGCCAAGAAATCTGGTTAACAACACATACTGGAAGACGTTTTCCATGTTGATATCTTATGTTATCCATTGTAATAGCCAATCATGCAACTTGGAGGACAGACTGACATCAGGGTAACTTGAATTTAATATTGAAATTCTCAGCATTGCACAAGTAGTCTGTTATCAGTGCTATGATTCATCCTATGCATTTGAACGAATAGGATGCCTGTGAATAGAATTTATCTGTGAAAAAGGTTAAAAAAAATTCCCCCCAAAAATAACTTACTTTCCACATTGCAGCATTAACAAAAATTACCAGGTCCAGAGAGGAGTATACAGAAATAAAAGAAAAACGTGGGTTCAGCAAACTACTAGATAATGTGTGAGACAATCATCGAGGTGCTAAACAGACAGACACTCTGTCTGTTTCAGAAAGTCCCAGAATGGCTAGAGGTGGTGACATTTCTAAAGAAATATCTCCACATGCTGGACCAGCTCTTCTGTGGGCTCCACTGCAGGATGCTGTTGGAGACAAAGCACTGGAGAAGATTTGATCCAGGATGCTGTAGGCTCTCTTCATTTATCTAAGTTGTAGGTTCTCTATGCAGCTCTGTGGCTGAGATCAAGTATTTATGCAAAAACTTTGTCTAAGGCTTTTCTTTCTCCAAAGAGTATATTGATTTGAGAATATGTGTAACTAGTTAACCAGACACTCTCCTCAAGGTTTCCTGTGATTTGCAACCTCATCAATTGTAATGGCCTGCCTTGAATTTGCTGACAGTTTTTGAACATGATGAAGCAAGGCTGTCCTGAGAGGAATTCATCTCTTCCTGAGAGGAATTCATCCCAGCATTAGGTGTCCACATCATTGCTGTTCGCAGTCTCCTTTACAGTTTGCAATCTAATGAACAGCTGATGGAAGCTGGTTCTTCTGACCACAAGCAGTTGTTTGCTCTAGGATGAAATGACACCATCACTTCCACTGCAGATCTCCACGAACTACCCTGCGAGCCTATGGCCACTAGCTTAGATATAGCTGCCTCTGTTGCAGACCTGTAGCTGTGTAGCTGTGTTGCATCTCAGCCAGTGAGTAGAACTTACCAACTTTCCCGGTACTTGCTCCTCAATCAATTGCTAAAAGACTCTGTGAGTAAGCCCTCTTCTTCCTTATGTGCAGGGCTTATCTCTCAGTGTCTGACTTTATATATATATTCTCTATTTATATAAACAGATGTAAAAATAATCACACTTTACATAAATGCATTCATGAAAATAAGCACGCAGCTCACCGTTAGTTCCTGCCTGAGACCTGACACAACCGCAGGGAACTACCCAGGGGGAGAGGCTGGAACTGGCCAATACTGGCTTTGCTAATGCCACGATCTGCCTTTTTTCTACAACTCTTTTGGCCACATGGGGTATGCAGGTAAGAAAGGAGAAGGGAAGAAAAAGAGGTCTAAAATGGCAGGCAACCTATAAAGTTTCAGGAAGACATGTCTCTGATAATGCTTGCCCAGATAATTGCTCTGCAATGGGAACGTAAGGCAAATGCAAGGTGGAGCTGGGAAAGGCACAGACCCCAGCCTGCCTAAGGTTTCATGTCTGAATCCCAAACGTACAGCAGCTGAGCTATTTCCTTCTTTCCACCTCTCCCAGGCCCTCAGAAAGATGGTAACAGACAAAAAGCCAGGAGAGAGTTATTCCTACATCAGCCTGTTCAGGACACCAGTCCTGCGGAAGATCTCTCTGTGTTCCGGGGCCGTGTGGTAAGCAGCGTCACTTTGCACAGGGGATTTGTCCTGCAGCTCCCCGGCTGGATCTCCCTCATCCCCATCTCCACACACTCCCTGCAGGTTTGGTGTTGCCTTCTCTTATTACGGCATGAGCATGAACCTAACTGGCTTTGGGCTCAGCATGTATCTCTCCCAGTTTGTCTTCGGTGTCATTGAGATTCCAGCCAAGATGTTCATGTACGTGCTGGTGAATCGAGTTGGACGACGGCAGTGTCAGGCTTGGATGCTCATCCTGACCGGACTATGCATAGGAGTCAACGTCATCATTCCCAAGCGTGAGACACTCTTCTGCCATAGGCAGTACTTGCTGAAAGTGAAGTTTCTGTTCCGTGCAGGGCTACGGTAGGAGAAACATAGATCTTGTCCATAGGCAATTCTATATGGAAATGTCCTCCTCCCAGAAGAGCAACTCGAGCCAAGGTTGCTAAAGTGGGGTAGCCCTAATACCCGGTAGCAGCAGATTGTCTCCAGTCACTGCGAAGTGGCTAGTAAGGGTGCAGTGACAGTGAAGTGAAGCGTCTATCTTACATTGCCCAACTGGAAATGTGGGCACCTATCCTCTCATCAGTTCAGCTCCCACTTGGGCTAACAGTTACCAAATTTACTGATCCAGACTTTGGCTCAGCAGCCCCAGTGCTGTGAAGCTCCATGTTATATCTGTTCTTCTTGTACTTGAGACTACAAGAAACTTCTTCCTAGAGGCTGCTCTTCGGTCATTGTCATATATGTCTTTTCTTTCCTCCTAGCCTTCACCGCCTTACGCTCTGTAGTAGCTGTTATGGGCAAAGGTTTCTCAGAAGCTGCATTCACCACTGTCTTCTTGTACACCTCTGAGCTCTACCCCACCGTACTGAGGTAAGAGATGACACTTGCCTGAGTGCACAACCAGAGCCTCAGTGGGATGTCACCCTCAGGTCTTCCACATCAGCACAGCAGGACATGCTGTTGGTGAGACTGAGGGACTGATGGCTTGCCCCTGGAAGTAGCAGGTTCTAGGGATGGCACGTACTCACAGGAAACGAGAAGATAGCTATCCTTTTTTCAACTGGATTACGTGTAGTTAGGTTATGTTGAAAGGAAGGTGTACCAAAAGGTGAGGAGTATTCTGTGTGCAAAAAGTTCTGCCCTCCACAAGGTAAAAGTGCTTAATAAATTCTTAGCTCCCTGTGACAATCTGCCAGTAACTGTTAAAAGATACGGAAAATTATCACGTGAAATATCAAGTTTTATAAGGGACACATACTACCACATGTTTGACAGTCTTCTGGACATCAGAGGATATTAAAGCAGGGATTAACTAGACTTTCAGGAGGAAAAGCTTATTTGAAATATCTGCGTAATGGTGACATAAAACCAGATTTAGCATCGGCATAATTTAGGATATAGCTGAGACTGGTGGCGGGTGTCACCTGACTGGTTTCTTTGTGAAAGTCTGAAAAAACTCTCACGAATCACAGCAGGCCTTGTGGCTTATTTCACCTTAGCTTGTCCCCGCCCAGAGTACCTTTCTCTGCCATATAGTCCTTTAAATTTCACTGGTCTGTTACATGCAGGGAACAATGCATATTTAAACCGGAGTGCGCACACTGGTCTGCTGCTTTCCTTCTCAGATTGGTTTGTACTTTTAAGTGCTCCAAGACATTGACAGACACAAACCAAAAATGTTGGTTCCTTCTGCAGCACTCACTCTGCATACACACAAGTAGGTCCTGGGATACTTGTCGTCAGTGGGAAATGACACCCATCCCCTGAAAATTAGTAAATGGAACAGGTCTCAGGTCTTATTTTTGGCCTTCTCTACAAGCTATCCTGGGCTTAGAGCTACAGCAGGACAAAAGGTGCTCACAGCTAACTCTAGTGCATGCCACCTGCCTGGAAGTACCTGGGAGAAGGAGGGACTTAGATTTTCTCTCAGCAGATCACAGGACTTACTAGGGGATAGGTAGAAAATAAACTCGGGATTTCAGACATTTAAAGTGGAAACAACTTTAGAGCAGATCATTTCAGTGTGGAACTGCAGCTTCTTTCTTGTAAGAGACATAAATCTATTTCTCACAGCAGCTATAGTTGCTCTCTGGGAAATATTATCATTGTAGGAAGATAAAAAGAAAGAAAAAAAACCCCAAACAACCTAGAAAAAACCTGACAGAGGGAAAACCCAGGGGGCAAAAAGCCTCAGCACTACAGAAAAATAGGGGGAAGGGACAGAGGGTCTGCACTTTTTCCCAAAGTCTGATATGAAAGAAGTACTCACCTCTTTCTTGCGGTGGTCTACACCACCACGGTGCCCTACCTTTCCAGGCAGAACGGGATGGGGTACACCTCCTTCGTGGCACGCCTCGGCGGAGCTTTGGCCCCACTTGTCTTTCTGCTGGATGAAGTGTGGGGGTCTCTGCCAGAGGTGACGTACTGCGGTGTAGCAGTGTGCTGCGGCTCCGTGGCCTTCCTGCTCCCCGAAACGCTCAACGTGCGCCTGCCCGAAGGCATTGAGGACATTGAGAAGGCGCAGTGAGTCCAGTTCCATCCTGCCCCGCACGCGGCATCTGCCAAGAGAGGCAGAGGACACCCCTCTCTGCCTTCTGCAGCTCCCTATCTGTGGGTGGCAGCGGGTGAAGGGACAGCCTAGTGGAGACTGGGGCCATCAGGCTTCCCATTCTTCTGTCTATCAGCACAAAAGTGCCTTTTCTTCTTTCCAGAGTGAAAGGGCCACCACAAGTCAGCCCTCCCAAGGGCATGCCGCTGCAGCCTCTGCTGAAGTGACAGGCTCCGTGGGACAGCTACAACGCAGGACTGCAAACACAAGCCGTGCTCTGACCTGTCAATAAACAAGCCTTTACTGCCCACCCAGTCCCTCTCTGCAGGCAAGTGGGGCTGAGGACACTGGAGGAAGGAGGTGGATCATGAAACCAGCTGGAGGGAGCTAACTCAACCTGTAGCGTAACCAGGGGCGAGAACGCAGAGGTCTAAGAGGGTGTGGAAATAAAGGCACCCTATGCTAAGTGCTTCCAGTCTTTGGCCTTGTTGGGTCAGCAGCACCTTTCAGTTCACTGCACAGCCTCCCAGAAGCGACAATCCATTCATTTACACACCACAAGAAACGCAAGGCAGCAGTAAAAATTACTGAGTGTGAATTGTACAAACCCAAATGATCTCAAATTGAGCTAAGTGGATAAACTATAAACTGTAGCTACAAGTATTTATTGAATTTGGAAATGGTCTGGACATTTTTCACACTGAGGCTCGAAGCCAGCACATGCAGGCATCTCACTGAGAATGGGACAACTGCAAGCATTTGTCCCACATATACAAAGAAAAAAAAAAAAGCTTTGCAGATTATTTAGTATATATGCAATAAGCCTACTTCAAACTAAAAAAAAAAAAGTCAAACCACCTTGCTGCATGTAATACTGAATAATTAATTCATTACTGGTCTTCATTCTGCTTACTGGTCTAACACATTGATCTTAAATTTCCAGAATGCTTTTGCCTCTTGCACTCACTTCTGCAAACAACAAAGATAAGCCACCAAATAATCAATAAATTTGGAACCCTGACAGACAGCACTTTCCTATATCGGGAGGAAGGGATGGCCTCAGCATCTGAGTCCCCAGGCACAACGCGACTGCCTGGGCTGTGAGCTGTTTTAAGCTAAGCCCCGCTCAGCCCGTGAGGATAACGCAAGCTGAGGATGCACCTGAAGGCGGGTGGAGAAGTCCATCCCATCTCAGGTCACAGAGCGCCTCCTAGTAGAAATAAGCTGCCTCGCGTATTTTATACCCCACCTTTTGGCTTTAAGGCAACTTAACGGAAGGGAACTCCTCAGAACTACCCTAAGGCTGAGACCATTTTGCTTGTTATCTCTGTCTTAAAGGTTGCGTTAAATAACCTGCCAAATCCCTGGGAAAAGAGCATCTCCCTGTGCACTGCCTTGGCTTCGTCAGCTGCAGACCAGAGCTAATAATCAGCTAGCCACAAGCTAACATTAATTATAGAGCATAATACACCTTCAAAAATGCCATGAGCAGAGCACTTGTTCAGGCACCTTTTCAGGGCATTCCCCTACCTACAGCAGATACATGGTGGAGAAACCCCAATGTGCCTGTGCCATGAGGCAGCATGCCAGTTGTGCTGAGGAGCATAAATCAGTAGAAATTTCTGGTTCCGGACAAGCTCAGTATGTCTCATCAGTTCACATTGAGTACTCACAGCAGTTTCTCACCTCTTCTCTACACACCTGCAAGTCTATTAAATTATGTTTGTAATGCCATCATCAGTTTCCGACCTGGGAGTAGTACAGCCTCACCTTATGTTGGCCATCCTGCTAGCTGCCATCAGAGGGCTGGAAAGGACTTTTTTCCTTCGCTGGCAGAGGGCTCTGACCAGACTAACGCTGTGGCACATTACTCTGAGCCATCCAGGACAGGCATGAAATTCACTTTGCCACAACATGGCAAATGCCGGCCCAGGAAAACTTTCAGTAAAGAAGATAAAATCTCACTCCAGAGCAGGAGAAGGGTGAGATTTTAATGTCCTGGTTTCTTCCCCATCTCTTTAGTCTTGTCAAAAGGACAACAGATAGGGTCTCAAAATAATGGGGTTGAGGGTTGACACCCTCTCCATTCCTACTCTGCCCATGCACAGGCTTTTCCTCCCAAACCCAGGTGTCCGCTAAAAAAATTACTATGGCTCCCTTCTACATGGCCAAGTTGAAACTGCCTTAAAACCCTTTAGCTTTTCTTGGGGAAGTATTTTAAGCTCTGATTGTTTATATTCAGGGAAAAAAAAACCCCACTTTTCAGAAAGACTTAATTCAGTATCCCAAGTTTCACCCCACTAACAAACAGAATACACAATAGGGTCCCATTTTAACAGCCTCCACTTTGGCATTCTCTGAAAATTGATTAAAAAATAATCCGACAGTTCTTTTTCATTTGAATGTTGCTATCATCCATTTGGCCTATAGTTAAGTGTTCTATATCTTCCTTAGACTACCAATAAAACAGGTGTTTTTATTATACCAGCTTAGAAACACTAATTGTTGTCCCTGTCCATAACTCTTTCAAGGTGAAAAGCATTACATTAAAAACATTTTGAATAATTTAGCAGGAGAAAAGGAGATAACAACCTTTTTTTTTAATTAATTGTCCATGAATCACAGAGCACTTGTGCCTTCAAAGAAGAAAAGGCAACAACATCAGCGTACGAGTTGTGACCAACCTACCAGACCGCTGAGTTTCCTTCCACAAAACATTCTTGGTTTGTTGGAAGCACATCATGATTTATAGCAACCAACACAAGCATGCAACGCTAACGTCATTCCTCATGCAGCGTCTGTAGGAAAAACAGGACATTCAGCCTGGAAAAGGCTCTGGGGAGACCTCACAGCAGCCTTCCAGTCCCTGAAGGGGGCTACAGGAAAGCTGGAGGACTGCTTACAAGGGCAGGTAGCAACAGGATGGGGGTCAATGGTTTTAAACTGGAGCAGGGTGGATTTGGATTAGGAAGTTCTTTCCTCTGAGGGTGGTCAGACGCTGGCACAGGCTGCCCAGAGAAGCTGTGGGTGCCTCATCCTGGCAGTGTTCCAGGCCAGGCTGGATGGGGCTCTGGGCATTCTGATTTAGCGGGAGGTGTCCCTGCCCATGGTGTGGGGTTGGAACTCGATGAACTTTAACGCCCCTTCCAACTCAAACCATCCTACAATTATATGCTTAACCAGCTCAAGAAATCACCTTTCATTACTGATAGGCTTGTTACGGCCAGCCCCGCTTGGGCAGGGGGAACCTTCCCGGTTCTGAATGCGTGCCATTAAGACGTCTCCGCTCGGCTGCGGACTCGTCCACAAAAGATATTTCCGCAGAGAGAAAACAACCAACCAGGTAACAAGGCGGGAGA